TTAATTTAGTTTTGAAATATAAGAATAAAAACCAGTGTAACTCATTAATCCTTACAGTTAGAATAATAATTTTTTCTTTATTTTCCATTAAAAACTTCATATATTTTTATGGTAATACTAAAAATTCTTAATTCAGACATAGGTGATCGAGTTTGACAACGTGTTTGTCATAACACGATATGTTTAGCATAAACAAAATAAAACTTTAATTTCAATGCTTTAAATGTCGTTAAAAAATTTACGCCAATTTAGTTTTTCAGATAATGATCAAGCATTTTTAAAAGGTGCTTTAATTCTGTCCATGACCGTAAGTATAGTTTCTCTGGCTTCGGGCCAACAATTAGGACCTGGATACAAATAATTGACAATACTTTTAATATTTGTCGAGATAATACGCTACAACAAGTATAAAATGCTTACCATTTAACCTGTAATGATAGGGAACGCAGGGTCCAAAGAACAGGTGCCACCAGAGTTTGGGATCAGTGAACAAATACTTCATTAGTTTTGGTTTACAGCCCACACACACAGCCAACTCATCCATATACTGTACATGCCGTACCTGTCGACCATACTTTTCATAACCTGGATAATATTTTTTAACCCACTCTTTTCGACAATTAATTTCTTTCGACATTTCCTTATCCGATGGCAACCGTATCTTATTGGTCATCAATTGGGCAAAATAGCGGCACTGGAGCTCAAACACCGGTAGATAGGGTCCCACCGATGATACGATGCCTATGAGGGCCAATGTATGCGAGTGTTTACCGTTCGGACTAAACATATGTTTGTATAGACGAAAGTCCGGGTTATTTATGGGAAGTATGTCTTGAGATAAAAATGGGTACGACAATTCGTACCCGGTGCCAAATACCACGACATCGCACTCGTACTCACGAGATTCACCTAAACATATAGCATATACCGTAATGATAAAGTATACAGGTACTTCATTTGGTGTCATTAAATGGGTTGGTGAACAATATTTTAAGAATGATAATGTAATGTATGATACATTTGTAAAATTTATTGATAACATCTATACCACTAAAAATGACCCCATTTTCCGTAAACTCCTGTACGTCCGGCTTAACCCTAACGGCGCCCGTAATGATCCGTTTGGGCAGATCGTCGTTAACCGCTGTGTTATTATGTGAGAAGACTTTATGTGTCGACTGAAGTCCGTATAATTTAGGGTTAAATATAGGGTTCAGGTACAGTTGGCTCGCCCAACACAATAGTGGATATGCGGGCCCGTCAAACATCCAGGCCAGATAACGCCGGAATCCGAATATATCAAGTGGTAGTCCATAAGGGCCTACCCTTTTATAAAGCCAACACCCACTGCGACTGGACAGGTATACCTTATTGACCAAAGTATAGCAAATACTAAATAGGTTTTCTAGTATTTTATTGAATTTATTATTGAATGTCATATGTCTTACATTAATTGCACATTTATATAAATTAATTTATTAATGTATGTATAAAATAAATCTATAGAAATATACTCACAATATTGCACACATTTGACACCTCGACGGCAATATCAGTGCCAGAACTGCCCACCCCTACTACCAATACCCGTTTGCCATAAAAGTCACGCGGCTCCCTGCTTTTATTATAAGTATTAACTACAAAGTGCTAGTATCAATAGCAGTGTGTTTATTTGGTTACAATACGCTAATAAGCATTAATAATAAAATAAAAAATGTGTTTGTAATTATAACATTAAGTTTAGCGTACATTATAAAAAGTTGTTCACTAAATATATGTAAATATGATGTAAGCAAGTGCATCCCAACCATCAATTTAAAGGACCTCCAAATTGTTGTTGACATCCGTGAGACCCAACATAAGGCACGACTGTTCGCGCATCGAATACTTTTTCACTTTACCGGCCGGAGTGCACGGGAACTGCCCCACGAACATGATGTACCTGGGCACTTTGTATTTTGCCATCTGTACTCGTATTCGGATAATACATTACAATCACTAGGTTAATTTTTCATTTTAATAATATACCCGTTGTTTGCAATACTGTTTCACCTCCTGATCATTAAGTTTATCACCCGGGTTATCGTTGAGCTTAATCCACGCGCACACCTCCTCGCCCATCCTATCGTCAGGAACTCCGCATATCTGTCCGTCCATTGAGTGGATATTAAATTTAATACAATTTATATTTATATTACAAATTATATGCACAAGTTTGTTTTATTAAAGTACAATGCAAATTAAATTATATTTATATTATGTTGTAATATTAATATTTTTAATTAGCATCTTAAATAAGCAAGCTTACATAAGCTTTTAAAATGGCTGGATTTTTGTCCAAAACATCCTCCACCTCCTGGGGGTATATATTTTCACCCGCCCTCACAATGATATCCTTTATTCTGCCAATGATTTTCATATAACCTTGGCTATCCATCACAACAAGGTCACTAAATATCAATTACAGTATTGAACCACAAAATTATAAACTATTTATATTTTGAAACAAAATTGGTTTCTAAAATAACCCTTATTAGGTTAGATTATTAATTTATAGATTCTGCACTGACCCTGTTCTATACCAACCACATTCATCAATGACCTCCCGGGTCTTAATATCATCCCTCCAGTACCCAATCATACGACTGTGTCCACGTGCTAGTAATTCACCTGATCATATAAATTATTTATCATGTCGTATTTCTTATATTTAAATTGTTAACATTACCTGGTTCGCCACTACGATTAATATAGCCAGTTTTAGTGTTGATTATTTTAATCTCAATTCCAGCACCCGGTTTTCCTATAAAGAAATGTGAATAATATTTAAAAAGTTTAAAAGTTCATAATGATGTTAATTACAAAATTGTACACTAACTCACCAATGGTTTCTAAACGTCGTTTTATATCATCTGATTGGTGTGAAAACGTTGTGTACCCTAATGCATTATAAAAAAATATGTCTCACTAGTCAGTGTTCAATACGAAAACTTTGTAAAATGCTATGCCCTGATACTGGACCATATTTATGTTTTCAACAATTTATTATAATTTAATTTATATAAAAGTTGTTATTATGAATACCTGTTTCAGTAGTACCATACGCAACACGTATATCCAAACAGGAGGGTAGTAGAGTAGAAATACGGTAGGTCAACTCCTTGGACACAAAGGTGCCCGACATTATCATCCCTTTTAGACTGTTTAAGTTGATCCCATTATGATGTTGCTCAAGGTAATTTAATATATCGAATATAATCGTGGGAATGGTAAATATATTTGTGCAATCATGTTTATACATAGTATGCACCAGTTGCCTGGTACTGTACTTGCAGTCCGATATAACTTTAAAAAACAGTTTAAAATGGTCTCATACTCGTTAATTTTATTTTTGAAAAATTACCAAGGGTAAATGGGAAAGCGCACATTCCCAATATTGCGTGCACACCAATTACGTGGAAAAATGGTACCGGGCAACATAATATCTTATGATTACTCTCATCCACGTCAAATGTACACTTATGTATTAGCGAGTTATTAGCTTTATATTAATAATTGTAATTAGTAATTCAAGTTTTACAAAATGCATTTTAACATACCCAAAGAAAATTGTGTTAAGCAAGCACCTTTTGGCTTACCAGTCGTGCCCTATTTAAGTCATAAAGATTAAACTTATTAAATTATTTTTTAAAATAATAATGAATAGTCTAACCGATGTAAACATAATAACAGCCGGGTCTTCAGGGGTGACTGATTCAAAAACAGTTTCCGGAATAATCATACCATTAGTAGCTTGCTCATACATTAAATGTGTAGTAATACTATATAAATCATTATTCACAGAAAACGTTTCTCCATTCATAATGATCACATGTTTTAATAGTATTTTATCTTGGTCAATCTATAATATATAGATACATATTATAAATGCTATTTTAATATTTGTATTATAAATACTTACACTTTGTTTGCAATTTAGTACATTCATTAAAACCTCCCGAAAATTATTAACTATTTGTTGTTTTAAAATGGTTTCATACTCGTTAATTTTATTTTTGAAAAATTACCAAGGGTAAATGGGAAAGCGCACATTCCCAATATTGCGTGCACACCAATTACGTGGAAAAATGGTACCGGGCAACATAATATCTTATCATTACTCTCATCCACGTCAAATGTACACTTATGTATTAGCGAGTTATTAGCTTTATATTAATAATTGTAATTAGTAATTCAAGTTTTACAAAATGCATTTTGACATACCCAAAGAAAATTGTGTTAAGCAAGCACCTTTTGGCTTACCAGTCGTGCCCTATTTAAATCATAAAATTAAACTTATTAAATTATTTTTAAAAATAATAATTAATAGCCTAACCGATGTAAACATAATAACAGCCGGGTCTTCAGGGGTGACGGATTCAAAAACAGTTTCCGGAATAATCATACCATTAGTAGCTTGCTCATACATTAAATGTGTAGTAATACTATATAAATCATTATTCACAGAAAACGTTTCTCCGTTCATAATAATCACATGTTTTAATAGTATTTTATCTTGATCAATCTATAATATATAAATACATATTATAAATGCTGTTTTCATATTTTTATTATAAATACTTACACTTTGTTTGCAATTTAGTACATTCATTAAAACCTCCCGAAAATTATTAACTATTTGTTGCAGAGAGTATAATCCTGGCATTAAAAGGGTAGTGATCTGTGCTTTTCGTAACACATAATCCAGCTCATCAGCTTGGTAACCTGGATTTATTGTGCATAGCACTATACCAAGCTTTGAGCAGGCATAAACTATTGGAACCTAATAAATTTCATTTTTAAAAAATTAATAAATGTAATAAATATTCTAGTAAAAGTACCCAGTTATATGAATTACAACTCCACACGCCTACAACATCACCACGTTTTAAACCTTAAAATATTTACAATTTTTATAGTACATTGTAAATATTATATTTATATCATACCTAGGCCATATAACTGATTAACAAGCTTGTTTACATCAACATTCAGATCGGCATATGTTTTGATTATATTCTCGTATTCGCTAATAAATGCCGTTTTATTTGAATCTATAATAAAAATTATATGTCTGATTAAAATGAAATGATTTACTATTACTACAGTATAATACAATTATGATATAAATATTAGTTGTTATTAAGAAAAAATATATTTATAAACCGTATTCAAGACGATTGCTGAGTAAATCAATAAACCGGACATATTGCAACCCGGCCCAATCGTAACCAGATCCATAAGCATATGAATACGAAATTTCTTGGTTATCACTAAATATATAATTATTAAATGTATTAATACGATCACACAATTAGTTTTATAAAATCCTAAATAGCCTAAAAAGTATTACCTTGTCATTTTATATTGAATACATGACAATTTTAAAATAAACAATATGATAAATATGACAATTTAGTGTAATAAATCAATTTAGATAATTTAAGGTAACGTAACAATACTAATAATTATTATTGACAGCTATTTATACTTTTTCAAACATAAATACTTAGTAAATAAACACCATGTAATTGAATCTAATTATAATTTATTTGAATAATTTTTCCCACAATCTTATCATAAAGTCTGCAAACATTGTTTACGAGTTTTAAATTAGTTTATACATTATAATATGAAGTTTAGATGATGGATTATTTTTTATTATAATAATAATATTTTTTATATAACTTAACATAAATAATAATTTATGAGATCATTATAAGTTTTACTATAAAGTATGAGTACATTAATTACTATGAAAATAATGTATATTATAATATTTATATTAAATATATTTTTAAGTATTAAAATAGTTGCGGAAAAGGTTCAGGAAATATACGTTATTATATAAAATTAAAATAATATTTAAAAATATAAAATTCTAAAATTTATTTTTAACTGGTTACATGTTTATTATTTTCATTTGCATATTACCGTAAACACATGAATTATACGTTGGTTAAAAAAATAATTTTAAATACTTAGTAATTATTTTGAACATTGTTAAAAATGTACAAATAAAATCATATTGCATTATAATGCCTTATAAGGGCTTGTTGTTTATTTCACTTTAAACTATTTATGTAAAATAGTATATAAAAATAGACGGAAAATATATTGTTTCAATTAACTAAATAATTATTTTATTGTCGTAGTATATATACAAATTAAGATTCATTTACCTGGAACCATTAATATAAGCCATATTACTCATTATAAAATGAATTCTTAAAGAATATTTATTGCAAATTAAAATATGCTTTTAATATATTATCAAATACATTTAAACAAATAAAAGTCCTTGTGAATTTCTATATAAATTTCTATAAAATATATATAAATGAATAATTTATATAATAATAATAAATTAAATTAATTGATATAAAAATTTTAATATTTTCATCCTTTATAATTAAATAAATTTATTTTACGAAGATTGAGTTGATAATAAAGTTTTAAAAAGTAATTTCAATGCCAACATAAATATTAATAAGTTTTCATAAAATAAGTTTACTACTGGCAATTATTATGGCATTTAATCGGAACTATAGTTAAATTAATAAATAAGCAATTTCTATAGAAATTAATATTTTTAATAATAAACCTTTTAACTAATTACTGATATCATTATTTTAGCATGATTAATAACATTTAAAATATATGCTATATTTATGTTTATTAGTAAACATAGTAACAATGTTAAGGAAGTCAATAATATTATTTATTTTAATAATTACTAGAAATTTCTAGTATAGTAAAATGTAGAATTTAATAGATAAAATAATTTATATGACTAAAAATCAGATAAAATAAACTACCTATCTACATAAAACAAGTAGTAAAACAATTTGTATTTGAATAATAATTAGAATTGATTGTGTATTTGTTAATGTATGATTAATTAGTTACTGTCAAAGTAATTTTATATAGCTATATTAAATATTTTATTATTTATTTATTTATTATTTTATATATAAGCGTAATTAAATGACATTTGATAAAATTTAATTAAATATAAATTTAAATTTAAATATAAATTTAATTAAATAAAATATTTTACTAAAAATATAAAATAATATAAAGCGGTATTAACAACTATAACAGTAATATATAATATTTGAACAAACATAAAAAAATATTGCAAAAATAATCTTTGAAATAAAATAAAAATTATATGATAAAATTAAATATAATATAAGAATATTTATTTAAATAAGTTTTCGTGTTATATTTTTATAAATTTATAAACATCTTATGATAAACTTAAAAGTAATTAATTAATCAAATCTACAACAATTACAACTAACTTGTTAAATTTTATAAATTTAAATTTATAAATTAAAAATGTTTTTGTATTCACTTTAAAATAAATCAATAATGCTTTACAAAACACGAATTCATTAATTGTAATTATTTTTAGAAAATAATAATGTAAGTTCCCCAAAAACAAAGCAACTTGTTAAACAATTATTAATATTTTTAGTAATATGCAATAAATTTTAGAAAATAAATTTAATATCAAAACTAAAAATTTATATATTTTTATAATTTAATTGAAATAATATCCAAAATCATGGGCAATAAAATCATATGAATAATAAGTAAATTTTAATAAATAAAGTTTTTAGTCACATTTAATAATAAAAAGCATTAAATTCCTTTAAAAATTAAGAGGTTATATTAACTAAATGTTAAGAATCATTTTATTAATCAATAAATATATTAATTCTAATTGGATATAAAGTTATTAAAATAATATGAAACAATAATAATTTTCACAAGCTTAATAAAATATGTGCATTAATTCTTGGAAAAGTTAATCAAAACAATATATTATACATAACTCAACGCACTTTAATTTACGATTTAATGAAATTATTTTTTATTATTTAATATAATATTAATATTAAATGATTTAAAATTCCATTTAAGCTCATAAATAATAAATTAATTTGTTAATGTCA